CATTGATCGAGAAGGCCAGATTAGTGCAGGGGAGAAATCCACCTATGGAAAGTAGAAAAACAGGTACGCACGACCGTCCCGTCAAAGATCATTCAGACTCTACAATCAAAGAAACAGTGCAGATATGGAAAACCCGGGCGACCACGCGATGCCTTCTCGATCAATGTTTTGCGTAGGTCAAGAGTGATCGGGCCAGTTTCGCATGTATGCGTAGTCACATACCGTTTTACAATACTCATACTCATGAAGTCACTTTAATATACAGCACCCCTGCGTGGATGCTGGTCAGGGCATCTGATCTGCAGTGCAAAAATTAGATCACTGCGCGACACCACATGCAACTGCGCTTTCGCTACACCTCTGATCTCCCGAACCTCAGCCTAGTTACTGACTCATGTGAAGGCATTCATCGGTTTTGCCTTGAAAATAGTGCATCAGTGACGCTTCATCTTGGTGATCTCAGACGCGCAGCTTTTCGAATCACCTCTAGGTCGTGTCGATTTCAGGACACTCTTGCCATCTTCTCAATGCAAAGGCACCCATGATGGTGCTGTCCTCTACCACTGCTGAAGAAGCAAGAAAAGAACTGGGTAAGGCTCAAAGTTTGATGAATAATGGCGCAATCGTATATGATGCCCACTTCAAATAGGATAACGTTTGTGAAAAGTACAACAACATTAGACTGGGCAAGAAAATCATTCTTTCAAACAAATCATACCGCGAACAAATCAACAGCTATATTCTGCCAGCTACTTTAGCCATTTTAGCTAAATATGTGGCGCTTCTCGGCGATGAAATGCTTTCTCGGCGAGATCAGCACATCTCATTGATCGTGGATGCCACAGTGAGTAAGAAGTCGCAGCGAACTAACTTTTACCCCAAAAATGCTTGCTTACAGTGTCTGGACTTCATTTTGGTTGAAGAAGCAGATAGTGACCAATTCCTTCGTTTGGCTCTTTGCTGTTCGGCGGTGATTTGCTGTCGATGCACTCCTGTTCAGAAGGTGGGTTGACTTGGAATTCGAGGAAGTCAACCGTAAAAAGTCCCCAAGGCGCATTCTTTCCTAGCGTACGTGCGCAGTCAGGCCGGGTACTAGAGCTATTTTCAAAGGTGCACCTACGCTGCACCCTTTGGAACAGTGACGTACCAATACAGGAGGCGCGGTGGCGGACCCAACTCCCCCCATACTTCTAGCAAGGGCCCTACATGTAGCCTTATTCCAGGCAGCAATGACCCGTCTTGTGAAAGCAAACGTCTGCGGAGCGGTGTTGGCGATTGGTGATGGCGCTAATGATGTCGCAATGCTACAGGTAACCTTATTCAAAAAACAAACTTCACGCTCAACCGTGGATCCTGGTCTTTATCGTACGTGGCGAGAAAGGGTCCGCAGCTACAGTAGCTTGGTCACTTTCTTCGGTCAGAAGTGCACGGGAACGGTAGTTATAGCCGGGTGTCGTCTCCATATTCCTACCGCCTTGCCTACGGTTAGCTGCACTCTAATCATAAAACTCGATGTGTACCTGCGCTCCCTCACTTCTGGTTGTTCGCGACCGCTGGCTGCGTGTTTCGCTGTCGGGACCTTAGTACCGACGCAAGCGCTGCACCTTGAAGCACAGGCGGAGTATGGAGAGGTCACTGAGATACCACTACCCTATAGCCCCGTCCCCGTGCACTGCGAGTGAAGAAAGCGGCACGCTTCTGCAGCTGCACGGACCCATTCACCTCTTATATGGGCAGACTGATCCTTCTCTTACCCGAACCGGTCACATTTACTTTCTTAGCCACAATTCAGGAGGCTGACGTAGGTGTTGGTGTTGCCGGCCAAGAGGGTATGCAAGCAGCTCTGGCGTCTGACTACACCATCAGCCAGGTGCCTTTCGCTGAAACTACAGATTTCCTCCTGCGCCTTTGAAATGACGGCTTTCAGTTCTATCACTTAGACCGACTCCTATTCGTCCATGGCACGCTGTCGTTGTTCCGAACATCCAAGTGTATTTTGTTCTCAATTTATAAAAATGTATTTGAAACCTCTATACTGGTCAGTTGCCTGTTCTTGGCTTTCTCTGGTGGATGGAATCTATCGAGTTTTTGCAGGCTTTCTATACATACATGAATGGGCACAGTGTACAGACGGCAGCAGATGAATGGACTGTACTCTTCTTCAATATGTTTTTTACAAGGCAAGTGTAAAGGTTGCGTTCATACTTTCCGATAGATCCACTAGCGTCTGCCAGCGTCCAGCAGTGGCGAGAGTAGAGAGGACAGAGAAATGGGAGGGTAGCAAACAGCTAGATTAGGCGGCGTGTGCAAGCACAGCGCACAACAGCTAAACCACAGAATTATGCAATTTAAATACTGTGTAGTGTAGTTGTGCTGTTGTGCTGCTGTTTGCACACGCCGCAATTACGACGCCTAATCCAACTGTCTGCTACTCTCCTTCTTCCTCCATGTTCTCTACTCCCGGTCGCTGGTGAACGCTGGTGGACGCTGGTAGACGCTGGCAGACGCTAGATCGATACCTATACTTTCCTAGTCGCTGACGCTGCCAGACGCTCGGAATGCTAGTGGTCGCTGATGGACGCTGCCGCAAATGGTGTGGGAGATCCGAGCTGCGGCGACGTGCGCTAGTGGACGTCGCATTGCAGCTGGATTGCAGATGGTGGGGTACTAGTCATCCGCAGTGGGACCCGAATGGTCTGGTAGAGCAGGGGTACAGTAAGCCATATCTTCCTGCCCATAAATGCGGGGCACTGCGGAATATCCCCCGCGTGTCGCGACAATTCGGATTTCCTGACCCGCACCCAATGGTGCCGGGTGTGGACTTAACTTTCTGCTTGACAGCTTTTATTTCTATTTGCAATATTTTAGTCATGGCTTGAGTACATTTTGCACTGTCGCTACTTCCCATGTAGTGCCGAATCATCAAGTAGAGATCTGGGAATTCTTGTGAAACCACGAAGTAATACCACTCAAAGCTTGCAGGGACAACTAGTCAGCTCTTGTAGAGGCTACTGTCAAGTCTTGTAAAGCACTGATACGACAGTGGAGGTTAGCGGAGCTGCAAATACCCCTCCAAGCTGAGACTGTGTCGTTTATTAAATACTAACCGGTCTATCTACTGATCTTCCCTTATACTAGCCCCGCTGCATTTCGAATTATGGCGACAGCACATTTGTTATTTGTTTTTTTTGTTTATCTATTTCTCATATAGTGCCTCTATCGTGAATCTTAAAGCTCTTCTCGAAACGAACTCGATTACCTTGGTAAGCTTGAGAGTGTAACATTTAACTGACCTAACTAGTCACAACTAGTCAGTGTATTCAAAGGTATAGTCATTCAGAAGAAAGTTCAATATGGACAAAAGCCTCATTGACCAAAGCCATGACTCCAGCCATCATCGCGGGACAACACCGCTATCCATTTGCGCCAGCACTCTCTCTCTTACCCTCAGCCTTCCCATACTCCTCACCCTGGCAAATTTCAAGCCGCTTAGTCTTACTGCTTTCATACACTCACAATGTAGTGGGCCGGTCATCATATCGTTGGATATCGGCAGTGAGCGGCGAGCTTTGGGCTCCAGTATATAACATAGTCTAATACTCGACATGCGAGCATTAAAACCCGTACTTTAACTTTACCGTATTTCTTCAGAATGGCTCCAGGCGAGGTAGTTAAGCAGGCGCCAGCTTTAAGTCTGTCTCGGCCCTGATGCGCCGAGTTCGGAATATGTCTTCGAAGCAGAGATTGAAGCGTCAAGGCTTGAGACTAGCACAGAACCTCAGTTAGAGAATCACGCTAGGTCTCAAGTCAAGTAGTAGAGGCATAGCCCGCATTGTTCAGAGTGGGCGTGGTCAGGCCTTTTGTTTTGTGTTCCCTCATTGAACCTCGTTCTTCGTCAAGGCATAAATGAGAAAGGCAGTATGGTAGAATTCACTCAGCTCAGTTAGTTAGCACGTACTGTGCCTTTACGCTGCCTTTCAGTATTAATGATTCTTACGGCCACCGTGGCTTCGAACAGTCCCGTCCACATAGAGAGCGGAAGAAGGGAGGCCCATTCAAGTAGCAATGTATGAACGCTTCAACAATACTATGAAGCTATGGTCTTATTATGATTATGATTTATTATCGGTTAGTAAAGCAGAACAAAACACAACATAGTTATTGAAAACATTGACCGATAAGCGGCAGCATGCAATTAATGAACAACAGCATGATAAAAACAGAGCGGCCACATAGAATAACTGTTATAGAAAATGATTAAGCGGAGCCCTGGGAAGGAGCGCAACGAGGAGCAGATGGAACACTTGTACAGTGCAACAGTGCCCCACCAATATATTTTTGGCCACTCAAAACAGCACTCTTTCTTATCAGCATTTCAAGTTCGCATACAGGCACCTCTCTCAGTGGTCTGGTGTTAGTAATTTGTTATTTTCAATACATTCCCTCAACGTACTAAGTCCGTCCGAGCTCATGTCCTACAAAAGGTTTGTTTGTAGTTCATTCAGCTTTTCAATAGTTAGATACGTTCCTCTCATCCACATTCCTTCGAGTAATGCGCTCGCACCTCTGTATAATAGCATTCCGCCTCAGTGCTCTACATTTTCGCACGTCTTGTCGCTGTCGTACACACTTTTTGCCTGCACATACCCATAAAGTGGAGTTAGTCTTTTCCTCCTTTCCTTTCACATTTTTTCTTCTTTCCTTTTTCTTCCGATCGGATCGCCGTGGTGATTTGCTGACTTCAGCTCATCCCATCCATCTCCCCCTTAAACCTCGGAACATGGCGACTCAAGTCACCCCCCAGACTCCAGCCTACGCCCACCCATTTTCCAACACGTCATAGTTTTTCCAAACGTGGCATTCAAAACCGCCGTTAGAAGGTGAGCAGGCACACAGCATTCGATGGGGATTTTGGTCGAGCTTTTACGACCCCCCCTTTTTCAGGGGCTGGTACGACCCCCCCCCCCATGCTCGTACGATGGCTGACATGGCTGACTGTGGTTGTGGTTTATACTCGGCGAAAAAGTTGTCGAGCGGGGGGGGGGGTAGTAGCATGCGACGTACATCGTACGGGCGTACATAGTACCTATAACACAGAAAATTCATAAAACCCATGAAGTGAACCACGTAACTCCTAGCCAGAAATACGACCCCCCTCCCAACAACGACCAAATACGACCCCCCAAAACGTCCGCAAAGCGAGAAAAATCAACTATAAAAATAAATACAAAAATAAATTTTCCCAGCCAAATACGACCCCCCCATACAGAATCCCCATCCAACGCTTTGCCCTCGGTAGTCCTCCCCAACAATTGCAGAATCATTATTGAACTCGTATTCATATCGTTATATGCGGCTGCTGCCCAACTGAACTGGCAGGGTGCATGCAGTCACATGAGACAGGGAAAATCTACAACTAAAAGACTTTTCTTCAGTCTCCCAAGATAAGCTTTCTGTCGATCGAAAGATGTTGAGCGCCCCCCATCTGAAGACCATTATGACACCACGAATTCTCCTAGAGGGAGCTGTACCCCGCTAGCTCCGCCCATTCGATATCAAGCGCCTCACCCTCATCTTTCCATCGTACATTATTTCTTTGACTAACTCCATACCTAACCCTTTGCGCCTCACGCTCAGAGGCTAGCTAGTCCCAGCACCAACCCTTCGCGCTCTACGACTTCACGCCCCATCCCAGCTATAGTGTGTTCACCAATACTGTGAAGCTATGGGCTTATTTGCCACTAGTTCAATAACAGCACCTCTTTACTTTCAGCTTTCAGTCGCTACAGGCATCTTCTCAATGTCGTTGTTAGTAATTTGGGTGATTTTCAACACATTCCTCAACTACGTAAGTCGGTCGAGCTCATATCCTTACAGGGAATGTGTAGGTCATTCAGCTTTCAAAATTTAGTACGTTCCTCTCATCCCACGATTCCTTGGAGGAATGCTGTTTATGATTCCGCTCAGTGCTCTCATTTTCGTCATCGTCTTGGTCGCTGTCGTAACACTTTTGCCTGACATAGCCATAAAAGTGTGAGTTAGGTCTTTTCCCTCCTTTCCTTTTCCCTTTTTTCCTTCTTTCCTTTTTCCTCCGACTTCGGGGTCGCCATTGGTGGTGCCGACCTCAGGCTCATCCCATCCCCATCCGCAGAGAGCCTTGGAGCATGGCAACCAACTAAGACGGTACAGACCTGCAGCGTACCCACTCACTTTCCTGACTGTCATAGTTTTTTTCCAAGAAGTGATATAGAGCGATTAGAGGGGGGGGGGGAGAGTGCCTCTCCAATCAATTGCTAGAATCAACTATTGAACTAGTAGTTATATAATAGTATTGCAGCGCTGCCAACTGACCTGGAGGGGTGCATACAGTCCACATGAAACAGGGAAAAGCTATAACCAAAAAACTTTTCTCGTCCCTCAGAAAAGCTTCTATCGAGGCGAGATCTGAGCGCCCAGAGGGGGTAACTAGTCCCAGCACCGAAAATGGCGCACTTCGGCTCGCAGGGGGGAGGGGGGGGGGGCATTCCGCGCCTTCGCTAGTTCCACCTGCGCAGTTCCACTTCATCTGAACTAATGGGTCTAACTTCGATGAGACCTGCAAACACCTGTGAAGCTGCGAAGCGGTACAAATGAGCCTTTTTAGCTACAGCAGTCCGCCGGTCTGTACAAGGGCCTGACCAAACTTTGCTGTGTACTATTCGGTGCCCCTATCAAGCCGAAGGGCCCTCTTCCCAGCCCTTCTCTAACGTTTCTACCTAGATTCCGTCGTGCATTACGTGCAGACATGCATGATGCTATGCTTTGGCAAGAAGGAATTCGCGGTTCAAAATTTGACATACTTTATCAGCCAATTTTCAAAATGTGCGACATTGTCGGCTTGAAAACTTACGGCGAACTAGAAAGTAACAGATGTAAGTTTTCTTTTTCTGAACTCTTCGAGACCGTCCGTTTCATGATGGAACCCATTAATTTTCAGACGGTTTCGCTTTTGCGCAAGATGATGGCACTGCTGTATCGCAGGTGGATCTCCTCCGAGAATGCTCACCCGAAACGTTTAGCATCAGAACGGCCGTGGAAGAAGAGATAAACGACAAGGTAAGCAGTTACCTTGTAGACGTGAATAGTTATGTAGTTCCATGTTGCGGTAGGAGCAGCGGAGCGGCAGCGCGCATTGGGCGGCATTCGCACCAGAACCCAATCCAATCAACAAATGCAGTCCTGCAGTATGCAGCAAGTCATCTTACTGAGGCCTACGCTGCTTGTATTTCCGCGTCACTGTAATACGGACAGGGCACAGCATTCGATGGGGATTTTGGTCGAGCTTTTACGACCCCCCCCCCATGCTCGTACGATGGCTGACATGGCTGACTGTGGTTGTGGTTTATACTCGGCGAAAAAAGTTGTCGAGCGGGGGGGGGGGGGGCCCTCTCCAACAACGACCAAATACGACCCCCCCCCTCCAAAACGTCCGCAAAGCGAGAAAAATCAACTATAAAAATAAATTTTTCCCAACCCAAATACGACCCCATGGGGCCCTCCCCTTTTTGGCGCCAATACGACGCCCCCCCATAGGAATCTCATCGAGCGCTGTGCCCTGAATACGGAACTGCTGGTCTGCATCCCCCCACCTTGGCACAACATTAATAACCTCACTGGAATTCAGATCGTGAAGGCAAATGAAAGATCGTCGAGACAAGACTGTAAATGAGCTCGATGTCCGGAGAAGTCGCCAAAATCTGCGGAAACCGTACAGCCGTCGAAGAGCAACGTCCCATGACCATCCCATGCTCTGATACATGTTTTACTCAAACATACTTACCCAAAAATTCATACTTTGTTAGTTAATAGAAGTTATCGAGGTTTTTGTTGTTTGATGGACTTAATAAATGTTTGAAAATGAATTTGTCATACATCACGTATTATTGTGCGCCACCTTAAAGTCACAGTCCACGCTTTTCATATGGGCGGGGACAGTCAGCCACTAGGCCTTGCTCATTCGTGGTCCCTTATTTTCCAAGACGGTTAAGAGGAATGATAGGTCGGTCAATGAGGTTTACGCAACTGTGTGTCTGGCCCCGCGCATAACCCCACCCGGGAGGCGTGAGGTGCAGATTCCGGGCCTGACTTTCCATGACACTAACATTTTCCTGTGACAGCCTATTGAACAATGATATGAAGGTTTCTCAGAGGTCCAGGCCCACATTTTTTGGATGGATACATGTATTTTACTATTTTACGGTGGTGATGTAGTGGTAATAGGTACGCTCGCCCCAGGGGGTCAAATCATGGATAGGTCCCGCCCAGGCCAACCAGGCCTTTAACCTTTCCGGGACGGTAAATTGGTACTAGATTCGTCTGGAAGAATAAGAAAAGTGACTTGTACATGGCTAGTCCCCACGATTCTTCGTATGAGCCACATCGTATTCAATAAGGCACTAAGATTTCTGAAAATCGGAAGTTAGAGGGCTGTGCCAACATCCCGGAAGGATGAAGTGATCAAACGGGAAACACTGTTTTCCTTATTCAAACTGTACTACTTAGTGTACACATTCATGGGAACTGAAGCCGGTTTAACCAGGTTTTTTCCTCGGCGCCATACCCCCTCAACCCACACCCGCCCACCGCCCCACCCCCCGCCCCCCCCCCCCCCCCCTATAACAGTTGACTTACGCAGACCGATGGATTGCCCCGTTGCGCAACAGACTGTTGGGGTCAAGGGGCCGCGAATGGCATTCATTTCTTCCGCAACACTGACTCGCTAATCTACTATGTTCAAGGGCTCTAAAAGTAACGCTGCCATCTGTCAAATGACAACCTCTTCTTGAGAAGAACAAAAAACTGCACGAATTACGAAAAAATTCATTAAGTTCAAAAAAGACCATGCAAATGTACGAAAAAAAAAACGAAGAATTGCTTCGAAAGACATCCTGAGAGTGACGACCGGAACTCGATCGTCTGCAAACAAGGCCAAACAAGGAACCCAATCCTTGGAAATCATAAGAGCGACTTTGCTCCTTCGGCCATTAGCACCAGTGAGAGTTGACTGACTTCCAGTCGAAGCATAGCGATTTGGGCACGTAACTGCACGTTTCGTTTTCTAAGCCTAAACACCCATTTTTATTTTTATTTCCTCTTCACTGCTTAACTAGTGATTCACGCTATAAGGTTTACGGTTCGCTATATGTAGGCAAGTGGGTTCTACTGTTTCTACTGTTCTACTAGTTTTTTTGAAGTATTGAGTTTTGCGTTCGAAAGCTGAGTTTTGGGTTTCTGCCGTAGAATTGCTGTCTTTTTTTTGCTTGTTTCATTTTGCTTTTTCTTTATTCCAATTAACGGTTGAGTTGCTACAACAAATAATTACTGCCCAGTCAGTTTTGAGCGCACCCGGAGTGCAGCAAATAAATAAATAAGTAAATTTCAGCTATAATTGCGAAAGTGCCCTGCACGATGATTAACTGGTCATTTATCCGGCTAAACCCCTCTGACATAAGGGTTGAGAAGCGCCCTAATTTCTGTGCTTCTATACAACCTCTTAAAGCTTTATCCAGAATCCCAGTTCAGTGATAAATGCTTGGAGGCAATCTTTGGCGCATTTACGGCTTTGATGGGGGGCATCAAGTGGAGGTAATCAGCTGTCACAATTTCACTATCTTCTCCATAACATGCTGTTCGGATGTATTGCTTAACTTTTCATGGCAGCAATCTCCGAACAGCGCCTAAATACGTTTGCCCAGGTATTTTATTTGGATTTGTTTATAGGTTTAATAAACTGAGAATCCAAAAGTATACTTCAACTTGCTGTCGATTGGCCGCTTCTCTTAGTCGCCGAACTTCGCGGGAACGCCGAGCAGAGTCGTTGTTCTTCCGCCTTCTCTCGTAGTAGTCAGCCTGAAACATATTTGTAGTCCCAAGAGTAATGAACTAAAGAACGACCCGGCCGCTGAGGACGGTTTTTGCCTAAGTATGACCCCCATCCCCCCGTTTTTGTTCGCCCCTACTATTCTCCTCTACACAACCTAACCCGATTTCCTTACCAAAGTCTTCCAGACAAGGGTTGGGGGGTGTACACGGTCAAATGTCAGAAAATGAGGTAGTCTTGCGATGGTGCAGACTTGAACTGGGCATACATGCGTGGAAGTCCTGATAGCAAGCCCCACCTTTCTTCTGGAACGGAAAGATAAGGCCTCCACTGAAAATTCTTACGACTGACCTCTACAAAAGTTTATTCCTAAAGCAGTAAGAAGATCTGGAAAGCGTCACGCTTGTGGTCTTGATATGTCCCTCACTGGGATACGCCACGCATTTCAGCTCATCGCAGAATCGCTGAGGCATTTGACTTGTGGGATCATCCAACAAAACAACCAGAGATGTTTAGCCTCCATGGTCAGATGGATTTTGGAACTGGTTAAGCCATCCCGCAAGAGAGGTAACGACTGCCCAGAGGGGATCCAGCCAGGGATTTAACCCATGGATCGCGTGCGTGGTAAGCGGCGCCACTTACCGCTGCACCATCTCTGCTTATTATAAAGAAGCCTGCCATCAAGAACAGAAACAAGTATACTCTCTAACAACACTACACCGTAGTTTAGCCAAAAAAGGAGTGCTGGTCAATGTCCACAACAGTCCAGCTGAACAAGGCGACAGCGAAAAGCGCTGGGCAGGTGTGGTTGCGGCGGAGGCAAATGGACCCTATTTTGGAGAAGCCCCAAGACTCCCTGCTCCCTCCAACAACATTTAAATCCACTGAGGTTGTTTCAGACATAAGAGACGCATCAAGTTAGACAAATTGAAAGTTGAAAATTAAAAATAAATAGAATAGAAAATGTATTTTTGCCACATCGCAGAGCTCTACGAACCTCTTTTCGGCCTACTCCTTGCGTTCGAGGGTTTCGTAGGTGAGTTTCCTTCTGGCAGTGTGCACACGCTCGGAAGAAGCACCCCTGAAATAAGTGTTAATTCATTGACTGCGGCTTTAAAAGGTGTTGAAGAACTCACCTCCAAGGTTGAGGCAGTTCATTCTGAAGCATCGCTAACAGCCGTTGCTGCATTGACATGGGGCCGCCCCGCGCCTTATCGCCCCGGCCGCCACCGTTAATCGTGCGAAAGGCTGATTTGAGCTCATTCGCCCACACTCCAGCGGCGGAGGAACGATCTCCCGGAAGAGGAAGTACGGAAGAAGGGGGTGAGGAAACAGACGATTCTTCTTCTCTGTCCACTGATTCGTCACACGACACAGAAGGAACTGGGGAGGAGCTGTCACTCATCTGAAAATTAGACGTATGAGGGGTAAAGGACTGGCGAGGACTTCTTCACGATAAAGACTGGAGTAACAAAATCTGATAGTTCTAGTTGAGAAAATGGGGAACTGAGGGTTTCAGAAAAGTACGACTGGGCTCCTGGCAGTGGGCAAAGAACTAACTCGCCATGCCTGGGCCACGGAAAGCTAACCAGTTGACGACCTCTATCTCAAAAGGAACCCGGGTGTCAAGTAGGCATAGAACGAACTCCCAAGTTTTCCATAATAACTCCCAAAATGACATTGCCTGAAATTACTAGCTTCATTGGGAGGATTAGAGTAGCGAAAAGTCAGGACCAACTGGCCCCAGATGGTCGACGGGGGCCCAAATAGAGCGACCACCCGGAGGGTGGCCATGCGGCAACAATTGGACGCTCTCGCTCGGAACACCCTGGCCATCATCGCGGAGGGTCACCAGAGGTCAAGTTTGAACGGCCCGTGTGGTGAGCATAGGAATGAGGAGGCGGTGCACGATTGCGCAACACCCGCACGGTTAATCACAGTGGTGTTTGTCGAGCGGGTCAGTTGCAGACACTCAAGAGCAGCCGATGTCATTTGAAAATCCTCTACGACCGATTGGTGACCTCTTAAGGGTCACGCAGTGATGAAGCCTGTCCTCTTGGTAAGGATCAGAGTTAGGGGCAACCGTTCAAGTTCGCTCAGAGCCGTCGTACTTTGGGGGTCCCCAGCGGGAGGGGAACGCATGTGGTCGCTGGCGGGAGGGTGTCGTATTTGCCTCCACAAATAATTTTTGTAGCTGACTTTTCTCGATTTTCCCTGTTTCAAGTGCGCTATATATCCCTCCCCTCGCCCTTTCTCCTACTTATAGTCCTGCTCGGCACCTCTCGTTCGACATGCTCCGGGAATAGAAAGCAAGAAGTTCAGAAATTGGTAAATCCTAAAGTTGTGATAGATAGGATGGGGAAAAGGAGTGAGGTCGTATCAGAAAAGGAAATTTCGAGGAGTGAGGGCGTACTTCGCAAAA